CGAGCTGGAGCCAGCGCGCCCCCCCTCTTCCTCCCGGCGCCGCCGAGCCCCGCCCCCGGCCCCCCAAACTCCGCCCTCCCCAAGCCTGCCTGCTAGCCACCCCCCAAAGGGGAGAAGCAACAGGGGCTCCCCGCACTCCTTATCGGCGCGCGACCCCTGTGCCCATCGTGCGCCTATCCGGGAGGTCGGTACGCAGCACCCCCCATCCTTCCCGGCGAGGGGCGCCGCAGGGGACCGACACCCTGTCTCTGCTCCCCAGGTCCTAGACCCAGGCCAGGAGGGGATAGGGGGCCTGGCCCCGGAAGGTCCTCATTGCCAGGTGCTGCTGGTTGAGGGTCGAATAGGAGCCAGGCTCCAAGGGGAAAGTCAGGTACAAGGGAGAATAGGGAGCTGGATTCGAGAAAGGACTGACAGAGGACAGAGAGGAGGATGCAGGACCGGCCTCCACCGAACCATCTTCAGATCTTCTGTCCCCTTTCAGCTCTCCAGAAGGAATGAAGTGAGCACAGTGCCTTAAGCTGGAGATCGAGGAAGCTGAGTTCTGATGTTTAATCCTAGCTGTCACTAACGAGTTGGGTGACCTTGGGCGAGCGTCTTCCCCTCTCTGAGCCCTCATTTCTTCAGCAGGAAATTCTTCAGCAGGAAAGTCAGCTGCACAGTCTCAGAGGCCCTGAGCTGTGGATGTGGGAGGTAGAAGTACAGGCCCCGCCAGGCTGGGGGACTGCAGGCAGCCTCCCCACATCCAGCACCTCCGTCCTATGAAAAGAATCTGCTAACTACTGCGTATCCTGCGCAGAAAAAGCAGTTCCCACTCTTAGGGCTGGGATGTAGCTCAGAGATAGAGCGTTTGTCTAACATGTGCAAGGTACTGAGTTGTAACCCCTGCACCTTGCCCCCAATTCCTAACCACAACGAAGGACAAATCTAATGGGGAGGGGAGGCCCTGGAACCATCACTGTGATAGAATGTGATCAAGGCCACCCATCAGCCTTTGGGCACAGCTGCTGTGAAGCTTTACTTTTCATTAGGGCCTTCAATATACAATAACTGTGCACCTTTTCCCAGAAGGAACCAAGGTAGAGGGAGCGTGCTGGCATGCATAGAGCTACTCCTAGAATTCAGATCCTTCCCATTCAAAAGTCTAGAGAGCCAGGCGTGGTGGCACACACCTGTAATCCCAGCACTCGAGAGGCTGAGGCAGAAGGATCAAGTTTAAGACCAGCTTGGACTACAAAGTGAGCTCAAGGCCAGCCTGAACTGCATAGGGAGACCCTGTCTCAAAAAGACAAAAAAAAAAAATCTAGGGAAACCTTCCAGATAGGAAGTCATCTTTCGGCAAGGCCTGGATATCTATCTGACCCTGGGGGATGGGATACAGGCATACTGATGTGCCCAGGCATTTCCTGGGTCTCATCTGGGACAGGAGAGCCACTGCTGCCCCCCCCCAAACCCCAGTTCTGATCCAGCCATTTCCCTCCCTTCCCTTTGCAGGCAAGGTCCAATGGGTCCTCTCTGCTACCAATTGATTCAGAACTCTTCAGGCCTGGCCGGAAGGACCCTCTCCAAGGCGGTGATCCATTCTTCCTGCCTAACAAAGAGGTTGTGGTCCTGAAAAGGCCAGGGTTGGTGTGGTGGGTCATTCCAATGTCTCCCACCCATTTTTTGGGGAAGTCAGTCTCACAGCCAAACTCTGCACTTCCTGTCCTGGTTTCAGACTGTGAGCCAAGTCCAGGACTCCTGCAGACAGGAGTAGAGGTCCTGAGAATTCCTGGCCCAGTAACCTTTCCTAACGTGCACAAGCTCCTCAGTCTCCCATTCAGTTTATTTATTTATGAGACAGGGTCTTGCTGTGTAGCTCAGATTGGCCTTGAACGCACCACATAACCCAGGCTGGCCTCAAACTCTTAGCGATCCTCTTACAGGCAGGCGTATGCCACCACATCCAGCCCATTCGATGTCTAAAATCCTTCTCCGGACACCCACTTCTCCGCCTCATGGAGCAATGGCACAGGGAACAACCCAAATCCTTTTGGCCGACTTTGGAGCTCCCGGGAGACAAACGAGCACCCCTGCCTTCTCCTCTCACACTCATTAGCCTTCCCAGGAAGCGCCAGGAAAAGGGGTGTGAGGAAGGGGGTGGAAAGACCCACCTGACTGTGGGTCACCGTGGAAATGAGCCCAGTTTCCTGAAGATGAGCCTGGCAGGGTGGGTGGACATGGGGAGTGAGGCCACCATAGAGGAAACCAGTAGGGAGGCAGAAGGACCAGAAGGGCCTGCCCTGGAAGTCTTGCTGAGGAGACAAAGCCAGGCCCCTGACCACACTGCAACCTGAGTCAAATCCCCAGGTCACCCATCCAAATACCACTGCCGTATTTCCTCCTCCCATTCACTTCTGGGAGAGTGCAGAGGGCAGTGTGTGACTCAATACTGACCTCACGTGGCCAAAAAGGGGGCTGCCACACATCAGGCACATGCCTGGCTGGTTGGGCTGGGATTTTTCTTAAATTGAGCCTCCACCCATGTGAATTAGAAGGGAAATCACTGCCTGCTTCCTGAGATCTGTGTCCTAGCAGGGGGCTCAGATGCCCACCTCTGTGACTTCTACCTTGACAAAGAAAGAACATTTCAAAAACAAAAACAAAGGAAGGTGTCACTGAAACAAACTTCAGGATTTGGGTTAGGTTGGGAGGTGGACTGCAGGGAGACCTCAGGCAAATGAGCTCACCTCTTGGGCCTCAGCTTTTCAGTATTGAGATGGGATGTGATGCCACATTTGGACCCAACTGGCCTGCAGATGGCGCTTCTCCTGCAGACTTTGAAGAAGGGAGAGGGGCACGAAGGGGAGGAGCCTGGGACATCTGAAATCACACTGGCCCCAAAGGAAGGGGTGAGGCTAGAACTCGGGTTCTTGTACTTGCTAGACATGTGCTCTACCACTGAGCTGCATCCAAGTGCCCCCAAGGGAAGGAGAAGTCTTGATTTCCTCAGGCTTTCCCCTGGTGGTCCTCACGGCCTCTTGCCCAAGGCATCCTTCACTCTCTGGTCTTGCAGTGGATGGAGAACAGGGGACAAGACCAAACCCTTCTCTCCTCCCCCACCCTTCTCCCCTCTCCATTTCCAGCCCAAATGGAACTTTCACTGCCCCTCACCCCACTGACTAGTTGGCCGTGTCCTCCAATACACCTGTTCCCATGCTTGCCTTAGTGAAACCACTCTGAGCTGTAATCACTAGGAAGCCTTTTGAAGGCTGGACCTTGGGAATTCCTTGGTGGTGGAGTGTGGGAGTTGGTTATGACTGTTACAGTAATAGTTGGTCATGCTCCCTGCAGAGAACAGTGTCAGGCAGATAGCAGAAGTCCCATCTGTGTTTTGTCAAATGAGTGAATGGATGGGTGAATAAAACGAGATTGAGGGGGGAGGGGCAGGAGGGTGCTGCTTCATAGCTGCCCACATTCAACCAGCTTCTTTCCCCAAAGCCAGAGATGAAAAGGAAGTCGAGCATCCTGGCATGTGCCTGTAATCCCAGCACTTTGGGAAGCTGAGGTAAGCGCTTTGCAAGTCTAAGCCCCGCTTGTGCAACTTAGGGACTTAGTGAGGTGCTGTTTCAAAATAAAAACATTTTAGAAAGGGCTGGCCTGGGGATGTAGCCAGTGCAAAGGCCCTGTTTCAGCACGCGCGCACACACACACACACACACACACACACACACACACAGCTGTTCCCTTGGGGATGATCCTCTAAGAGCACTGCTGGCCAAGAACAATGGCAGTTGGGTCGTGGGTAGGAGTAAATCAGGAGGTGCTGGCTTAAAGCTTATCTTTGGGTAGTGATGGCCTCCCTGGGCACAGGGAAGGCAGGGACAGGGAAGGGAAGATGTTCGGGCCAGGGCTGGGCCTGGGACGTCCCCATCCCAGCCCCACCATGAGGAACTAAATTTCCTGCACCACTGGGAGGGAGGGGCCAGATGCCACAACCGCCTGAGGTCAGTGGTTCACCGTGAGAAGGAAGAAGGCCCATGACCACTGGCTCATAAGACAGCGGGCTGCCTGAGAAAAACCACCTGCCAGAAGGACAGCCCCATGCCCAGGTCTGTGTGTGGGCAACAGAGAGGAAGCCCTTTGCACAGAGCCCCAGGGATCCTAATGAGTTCTCTTCTCCACCCATACTCCTGGATCCAGGCAGGGGACAAGAAGCAGTGCTTCCACGCCCCTCCACAAAGCGTCCAACTTGTGCAGAACATTGATAAATATTCCTCTAAACAAAGGAATCACAAAGTGTAAGTAAATAAAAGAGCAAAATAAGATAATAGAAACAGATATATCTTTTGTAAAAGGGAAGGGAACCAAATGACGGAGGGTGGGGAGAGGAAAAGGGTGAAAACAAAACAGAGATGCGTTATGTCCACGCAAAAAGTCCCCACGAGGAATGTGATCATTATGTACTGCAAACATGGGTTGGGGATTACTGCGGTCCAAGGTCTTGGGTTCAACCTTCAACTTTGTAAAATACAATTTTTAAGGGCCGGGGATATAGGTCAGCCACACAAGCGCCTGCCTGGTAAGCACAAGGTTCCGAGTTTGATTCCCGTTACCAAAAAATAAATAAATGAATGAACAAATAAATTTTGAAAGGAATGAATGAATAAAGAAACAGAAGACATGAAGGAAGAAAAAAAATGAACGCATGAAATTAACGAATGGAATGAAGAAAGGCAAAGAGAGCGAATGAATGAACGCGGAGTTCGTCACCGCAGGCGTGAGTCAGAACGGTAACCATGACTCCGGCCTACGCAAGCGCGGGTCCGGGGGATTCCGGAGGGGCGGGGCCTCGATCCGGAAGCGCCGTCGGGGGCGTGGCGGGGGCGTGCCCAGCGCCGCTGGGGCGGGGCGAACACAGTCGGCGCGGTGGACGCGGCGGAGCTCGGCGGCGGAGCTCGGCGCCCTCGCCGCCGCCGGCGGACGGCGACCGGGAAGGGGCCGGCGACATGTCTGGAACGCGCAAAGACCTGGCGGAAGCGGACGACAGCCAGTGCGACTCGGGAATCGAGTCGCTGCGCTCCTTGCGTTCGCTGCCCGAGTCCGGCCCGGCGACCCCGGGCGCCGCCAAGGAGGACGAGGAGGGCGAGCGCGTCTACTCGGCCTACGCCTCTGCCTCGCTTATTGAGCCCCTGCCCCTGCCCGGGGTCTCCGAGCCCCAGCCCCCCAGCCCCAGCTCACCACTGCCCCCCGCGGGGCCCCTGAGCGCCCAGCAGCTCGAAGCGCTCACTTACATCTCCGAGGACGGCGACACGTGAGTACGGGTTAGGCTGGGGCAGGCTGCTGCCCAGGGCTCCCACCTCCATCTCGGAGATCCTTCGAGGCCCTGCAAGGGACAGCCCCCGCTCTCTTCTGCAAACTCCATACTTACTCTTCTGAGCTCTCTCCAAGCCCAGACCCAGCACCTGGCATCCTCTGCCTCCTGTGGGAGTGGGCAGAGCCAGCAGGGGCCCCACCCAGCACTTGGAGCCCGAGCTCGCATCTTGGAAATCTCCCAGTCTTCCCCTTGGGAAGAGAAAAATTCCCCGGCCCGGTCCAGTTGTTTTCTTCTTGCTGGGGGAGGGGGCATCCTTGTTTGCTCAACATCTGGGATTCCCAGCTCCTGACCTCGGAATGCCCTGTCTCAAGGAACAAGTGGCGTCTGGCTACAGGTTGCATTTTGGGGCCTGGAAGCTCGGGGCGAGGGGTACGGGGTTGGGGTAGCCCTGCAAGCAAGGGGGTGATTCGGTGGGGCACTGCTGCCCCAGCAGACAGAGGTGGCCGGCTCCTCAGCCTACTTCCTCCTCTGCTCAGAAAGGGGAAGTGAGGGCTGAAGCCAGGCTCCCCAGCACGCGCCACCTCCGAGCCCCCGAAGTCCTCCTCACTGTCCTGTCCTGTCCCACCCCCCCTCCTCCCCCTCCTCCCCGAGACCCAGGTGGAGTTTGGTGGAGACTGGGCCAGGGGCAGCTGGAGGAAGAGGGATGGTGTAGGACAGGCTGGCTGGTTGAAGATTTGCCCCAGGAAGCAGACGACACTGGTAGAGGAGGGAGTGGTTGGGGTTTGGGGATGAGAAACAGAGGCGGGCCAGAGGAGCCCCAGATCAGAGATGGTAATAAGCAAAGGCAGGGCACACGGGAATCTGTCCTGGCATGTTTTCGAGATGCAGGGGTCTTCATCTGAGGTCAGAAGAGCCTCTGACCCAGTGAGGGGGAGGAGAGCCAGGGCCTTTGAACCCCAAGCCCAGAACCCCAAGGTTGTGGGGGCTCCATGCCAGAGTCCCATGACTGACCTTTGACCCAGGAGTGAGGACTTTCTGACATTGCTGTCTTGTTGGCCTCTCAGCCCCAGCTTTGCCACCTCTAATCAGACAGGTGCTCCGTGTGTGTGTGTGTGTGTGTGTGTGTGTGTGTGTGTGTGCGCGCGCTTGCACAGGAGGGAGTGTCAGGGCTCCCCTGTGGGTCTCCTCCAAGAGGTGTCCTGTCTTCCTGGGCTGAGAGGTACATGAAAGTAGGAAGAGGAAGTGGGAGGAGGGGAGACAGGGAGAAACAGAGGTGGTGGCAGGAATGTGGCCCCAGAGCAGGCCTTGGCTGAGGGGATTTCCAGAGCTGTGTGTCTCTCCCTGTCACTCTCTCCTGGGCTACCCGCCTGCCTGAGGCCAAAGCCTGGCCCTGTGGCCTGTGCAGCCCTCTCCCCGCCCATGATAGCCAGCCTGCTCCTCGCTGCTGCCCAGCCCAGACCCTGCAGCTCCTGCTTTCGTTTTCCCCACCTGACGTGGGGAAACCCCGGAACTGGAACTTCCCTCCCGCTGCCCCCTTTGTCCCTAGGTTGTGACTCTTGTCTCCCATCGTATACAAGTCCCCTGGACTGCACAAGGACATGGAAGGGCTTGTAAGGCCCTGGGAAGGGTAGGGCAGCAAGGCAAATACTTCTCTCTCCTCATCCCTCTTCCAAGAGCTGTTCCCTCCCTTGGGAGGCACTGGGGGAACCCCACTTCTGTTCCCCATCCTCCTGCCTGGCAAGGTGGGGAGCCCAGCCCTGGAAACCCCCTTGAACCACTCTGCAGCTTTCGGTATGGCTCTCAGCTGCAGCTGGCCTGGCAGGGCCCTGGGGTGGAGCAGCATGAGGTGTGGGCAGGCTGGACAGGAAGGCCCTTGTCCATCAGCACCATGCCTGTGTGTGCTACCCAGCCCGGGCCCTTGCCAAGGAAACCTGGAGCTCCCACCCCCGAGTCTAGGCTTCCCACACCCACCCTCACTTCCTGGCCCCAGCTCTTACTTCCTGCACCCACATCACGAGCGCTTGTTAGAGGTTGATGGGTTCCTTCTAACCCCAAGACCCGGGCCCACCTGGGCTCCAGGCCCTGACCCTGCGCCCTCCCCTGCCCTAGGCTGGTCCACCTGGCAGTGATCCATGAGGCCCCGGCCATGCTGCTATGCTGCCTGGCCTTGCTACCCCAGGAGGTCCTGGACATTCAGAACAATCTCTACCAGGTGAGTGCAGGGAAGAGGCGGTCCCCAGGTACCTGTCTGTGCCCTGGCAGCATTCCCAGGATTCACTTGGAGCTATGTGCGAGGCACAGGTGAGAGCTGAGGGCACAGAGGAGTAGCACACAGCCCTTGCACTCCCTGGTCACACAGCAGGTAACTAGAGCTGTGATGAGGGCACACACCAGCTGCCAGACAAGGCACAGTGCAGGAAGTGGCATCTGAATGGAGCCTTATGGGAAGGGCTTCCAGGGGAGATGGCAGGGTAACCCTGCCCCTCCTGCCCGTCTCCCCAAGGGTGAGGGACTGGCCTTGGCCCCCACATGTCCTTTCTCCAGAGGCTGAGGGACTTAAAGAAGAGCAAGGACCACTTCCTTCGCTCTGCTTCCAGAACTTGGTGGGGTGACAAGAAAGACTTGGGAGACGCAGACTGTGGGCTTTGGGGGCTGCTCCCCAAAATGAGGCTGGAATCTGGAGACTGTGACCACCCCAGCACATTCCCTGTGACCTTCTGCTGTCCCCACAGACTGCTCTGCACCTGGCTGTGCATCTGGACCAGCCAAGTGCTGTTCGGGCCCTGGTGCTGAAAGGGGCCAGCCGCACGCTGCAGGACCGACATGGTGACACAGCCCTGCATGTGGCCTGCCAGCGCCAGCATCTGGCCTGCGCCCGCTGCCTGCTGGAGGGGCAGCCAGAGCCAGGCCGAGGACCAGCCCACCCCCTGGACCTCCAGCTGCAGAACTGGCAAGGTGCGGGCAGCCCCAGGTCTTACAGGATGGGGGACAGGGGATGGGGACCCCAGCCTCAGGAAAGGGAGGGTCCCATCTTGACCCCTGGTACTTCTCCAGGTCTAAGCGTATGGGTACTCAGTAGAGCTGTGCTGGATAGAGAAATGAATGAAGGAGTAAATGAATGAATGAGTCAGAATTTATACAGCACCTATGGTGTGCTGAACAGAAATCTAAATCCTATCCTTAAGATAATTTAGTTTAAGCCATCATGGTAGCATACCCCTTAGTCCTAGCACCCTGGAAGGCTGAAGCAGGAGGATCACAAGTTCAAGTCCAGCCTGGGTTACATAGTGAGTTAGTAAGTTCAGGGCCAACCTCAACTACATACAAGACCCTGTCTCAAAAAATATGGGTGAGGGGCAAGAGATATAACTTAGTGTGAAGGTCCTGGGTTCAATCCTTAGTACCACAAATAGGGAAAAAAAGAGGGTTAAATAGAGGTTAAATAAACTCATTCATTCAACAGAAATGTACTAAGGGTCTCCTAGGAGCTAGGCTTGCATCTGTGAGCAAAACAAAGTCTGAGACAGACAGTAAATGTAAGAAATGTAAGAAGTGTGTTATCAGTGTGTTCGCAGGGAGCAAGTGCTAACTGTGGGGAGAATTGATACGATTTTTAAGTGGGGTGGTCAAGGAAGGACTCACGGAGCACAGGGCCTAGGAACAGGGATTTGAAGGAGATAAAGGGCATAAATTCAACTCTGAATCTCTATTATAACACCCAAAAGGAGACCGCAAAAAAAGAATGAAACTAACCCCAGTGCCACAGGAGTCCACAGGATCAGATGGTCTCTGGAAAGGCTGGGGACCACAGGGTCCCCTGACCCTATTTATCAGAGAAGCCAGGATTGGGCTTGAGGGCATGTAGTGCCCTAGTGAGCATGGGTCCCCGCGTGTGTCCCTGTTGTGTGGGTGGGGTGTATCATGGGACAGGGTGTGTGTTGGGGGCTGTCACAGGCTGCCTGACCCCTGAAGCATGACAGTTTCAATAACATGACTCTGAAAGGTGGAAACTCTGAGGTCCTTTCCCCTCAGACTCCTGTGGGGGTTTTAGGGCTGTGCCCTAACTGTCTTGTGATGAGATGTCTAGTGGGCAGTGGGTCCCATGGGGCAGGGGGTCCGGATGCCCATTAGCACCCCACCTCCCGCCCCCAGGCCTGGCCTGCCTCCATATTGCCACCCTGCAGAGGAACCAGCCGCTCATGGAGCTGCTGCTGCAGAACGGGGCTGACATCGATGCCCAGGTGAGGCAGCCCAGCACCAGGTGCCCTCCCCCCCCAAGTGCCAGGCCTGACCCACTGCCCCTGAGGCCTTACTGATATCCTGTCCCTTCTAGGAGGGCACCAGTGGGAAGACGGCCCTACACCTGGCCGTGGAAACCCAGGAGCGGAGCCTGGTGCAGTTCCTGTTGCAGGCAGGTGCCCAGGTGGATGCCCGAATGCTCAACGGCTGCACACCGCTGCACCTGGCTGCTGGCCGGGGCCTGAGCAGCATCTCATACACGCTGTGCCAAGCTGGTGCTGATGCCCTGCTGCTGAATGTGGAGGACGAGACACCCCAGGACCTGGCTGAGGATGTAAGAGGCATATGCTCTCCCCTGCTCTGTGGGCGTTACATGCCCATAGCTGAGGTGGGCACTGGGACTGTTGTAGCTGGGGGCCAGGGAGTTAGGACTCTGCAGCGTAACCAGGGCTTACCACTTAGCACCACAGCACCCTGGGCACCTTGGCCCCACACGGAGCCTGTTTCGTAGTTGGTCAGGACCAGGCCCCACACTGGGATGCCTTCAGGGTGCTGCAGCTAGGGAATGGGAGGAGAGGTGGGTGCTGAGCCCTGTCGGGGTGAGGCTCACAGGAAACCAAAGTAGTAGGCCTCAGGTTGCCCCCTGGCTTCACCCACCTCTGCAGGGGAAGAATGTACTGAGATTTCCGGCTCTTGAAAATTTTTAAAGTGAAACCCAGATTTTCTATATAGTCTTTCCTATTTTTAAGTGTCTAGTGCAGCCGGCCATTTTGGTGGATGCCTGTAATCTGAGTTTTCTGGGAGGCTGAGGCAAGAGGATCTCAAGTTCTAGCCTACCCCAGGCAACTTAATGATTTAGGTAGACCTTGATTCAAAAAATAAATTTTAAAAAGTGATGGGGGTATAGTTCAGCATGAAGGCCCTGGGATCAATCCCCAGCATCACACACAAAAAAGTTCCAAATGTTTTGTGAGTACCCTTTTCCTATCCCCCAACAGCTACAAACAGATGGACGGGTTCCTCTTGTCTGTTATTTCTCCATAGATAGCTTTCCGAGAGCGTCAGGGCCCTATCTGGCCCACGGCCTATGATGTAGGAATGACTGGGGAATGGTGGTAAAGATGTGTTCCCTGATGTCCCTCAGCTGTGAGGCAGGGGTGGCCCAGGAGTTTTCCCAGGTCCCCACCTCCGCAGCTGCTCCCAGTGGCCCTGACCCTGCTGCCCTCTGTTCTCAGCCGCTCACTCTCCTGCCCTTCGATGATCTGAAGATCTCAGGGAAGCCGCTGCTGTGTGCCGACTGAAGCCGGGTAGGGCTGGGAGTCTGGGGGCCGCACGTGCTGCAGCCTGGACCCAGGCTGGCTGCCCTTCTGGCGTCCTAGGGACTGAGGCCCAAGCCTAGGGCAGGACAGTCGTGAGTTGAGAGGAGTCTGGAAGGAGAGCTCCTGGTGGACTGGACACGCAAAACCCAAGGTGTCTTAGTGAAGCCTGTGTGCCCCTGGAAGAGTGCAGGGGCTGTCGCTTCTACCAACATCGGCCACCCTGCAGGTGCCATCCAGGGAGAAGGCCTGGCTGCTCCCAAGTGAGAAGAGACTGAAACAGCAAAGCAGGGCCCCCAGGGGTCCCATCTTCCTGCTGTTGAGAATTCAAGCCTGGCGCAGGTGGTGGTGCAGGCCTGTATTCCCAGCTACTAGAGAGGCTGAGGCAAGAGGATCACAAGTTCGAGTCCCGCCTGGGCACTTTAGTGAGACCCTGTCTCAAAATAAAAAGGGCTGGGCTGTAGCTCAGGGGTAGATCGCCCCTGGGTTGGACACCCAGTATTGGAAAAAAAAATGAAAACACTGTTGTCTAGAGAATTCACACAGAGGGCCCTGTGCAGAGCCTTTGGGGCAGTAATGACACTAAAATATTAGCAAAGACTTGAAAGTGTTTACCTTCTAGCGTTGTTTGTGTGTGTGCCTAGGCAGGTTGCCCTGTGACCTCATGGCCCCTGAGTAGGGTAGGGCCCTACTGGGTGGGGTGTTGGCTGGGGTGTTGGCTGGAGGGAGGCAGGGAAGGGAATGGGAGACGCAATCCCAGAGGAGAGTGTCCTGCCTGGCGGGCACCAGATATTGCACCCTTTCACGCCTCCTCTCTGTTCTTGCCACACGGGCCCTGCTGGTCAGGCCTGTGCTGGTGACCCTTGGTACTCGGGGTCCAACAGATGCAACAGCCTTTACCATCCTGAACCCCAACACCGATGGCAGCTTGCCATGGGCTCCCTTAAGGGACATTGGTGGAAGGGGTCGGTGGGTGGGTGGGGCGCCCTGCAGAGTGTGCCCCGATGGGACCCAGGGCTATAGTGCCTGTGGAGCTTCAAAGTTCACAGGGATGAGGGATCGGGACTGCTGATCTGGCCAGAAAAGGAAAAAGTCTTCATCCCAAATCAGTCATTGCGGGGAGCCTGGGGCACAGGGTCCCGCGTCCCCTGCCACGCCACCTCCGGGCCGCGCGGGGGCGCTGTGGCGGCGGCGGGCACTCGGATGAAGGCGGGCGCACAAGGCTTCCGCTGCTTCTCCAGCCGGTGGCAACGGCGGCGGGAGCGGTGGAAGCGCAGCCGGGGACCCCACTCCCCCGCCCCACGGTCCGGCCATGGACACCAGGTGGGGGCCCGGAGTGGTGGGCACGTGATCGCGCCCTGGCCACGTGACGGCGCCAGGGCCAGCTTGTGGGGTGGGGGTCCCCGCGCCAGGCTGGCCCTCGTGGCGCTGCCCGGAACCTCGGGGACACGAGCCCGCCTGGGCCGGGCCGCTAGAAGCCTCGGCAAGGCGGGGATCGGGACGCCGGGGACCGCGCTCGGGGCGGAGGCGGGGGAGGGGCACGGCACCGCGGGACAGAGGGGACCTGTGTGGCCGGCGGCCGCGGGCGGGACAGAAGGGACCTGTGTGGCCACAGAGAGAGGCCTTTGTCCCCGGCGGGCGGAGGCTGCCTTCCCCCTCCCTCTGTCCCCGGCGTCCCGCCCGAGCCCGGCTGCCCCGGCCCGCAGGTGGTGGGCGGTGGTGGTGCTGGCGGCGCTGCCCTCCCTGGGCGCAGGCGGGGACCCCGAGGCCCCCCCGGAGTCGTGGACGCAGCTGTGGCTCTTCCGCTTCCTGGTGAACGCCGCGGGCTACGCCAGCTTCATGGTCCCTGGCTACCTCCTGGTGCAGTACTTCAGGCGGAGGAACTACCTGGAAACAGGTGTTCGGGACAGGGCTGGTGGACGTCCAGGCCGGAATGGGACCTGGACAGGGCCAGGCGGGGTTGTGCAGGGGCTTCCGGGCTGACTTTGCTGCATTCTTCAGGCAGGGGTATCTGCTTCCCCCTGGTGAAAGCCTGTGTGTTTGGCAATGAGCCCAAGGCCTCCGATGAGGTCCCCCTGGTCTCCCGGACAGAGGCAGCAGAGACCACCACGACTTGGCAGGCCCTTAAACTGCTCTTCTGTGCAATGGGACTGCAGGTAGGTAGCAGGCTCTGCCCTCTTCCTGCGGTGGCCCTCGGTGGGCAGGGACTGTGGAAGCCAAAGGTTGACTGGTCAGGCAGTACCATTCATTCCGTCTCCCTCCTCCCTTGGACAAACACGCCCAGTCCTTGGATGTGTTTGAGGAAGTCTTCTTTCCTCTTTCCCCTAGCCAGTGCTGGTACTGAAGGTTAACTATACATGATCACTTCACCATACCTAGTGCTTACAGAGGGCTTGTATCCTAGGCTTTCCTGATTTCCATTGTGCCGGGCTGTTATTACACTTCCCCCTGCACCACTGTGTCTCACGCACAGATAAAAGTTTGGGGGAGCTCTTCATTTCCTTGTGTTTGAGGGACGCTAAGATGCTGACCACACAGCCCTGTGGAGTGGGGCGGTACCAGTCCACCTTGTATCCACGCTGAATGTGCCTCTGGATTGGTTGTAAACGGGGAAACACTTCGGATGAAGCTAGCTGTCAGTACCCTTACTGCAGGCACAGACTGGTCTGAACAGCCCAGCGCATGTGTTGTATTTTCCCCCACACTCCTCCACGAGTGGGGAGGAAACTTAAAAACTTCTACTACAGAGGAACCAAAACACACATAACATGTATTGTTCTGAACCATGCTGAAGAGGGCGGTTGTGATCTACTTTTGTCTGCCTCTTCTCTTGCTTATTGATTCCTGTCCCCACCGTCGGCCACGCAGGTGTCCTATCTGACTTGGGGTGTGCTGCAGGAAAGAGTGATGACCCGAAGCTACGGGGCCACAGCCACGTCACCTGGCGAGCGCTTCACAGACTCGCAGTTCCTGGTGCTGATGAACCGAGTGCTGGCGCTCATAGTGGCGGGCCTCACCTGTGTCCTCTGCAAGCAGCCTCGACATGGGGCGCCTATGTACCAGTACTCCTTCGCCAGCCTGTCCAATGTGCTCAGCAGCTGGTGCCAGTACGAGGCTCTCAAGTTCGTCAGCTTCCCCACGCAGGTGCTGGCCAAGGCCTCCAAGGTGATCCCTGTCATGCTGATGGGGAAGCTGGTGTCGAGGCGCAGCTACGAGCACTGGGAGTATCTGACGGCCGGCCTCATCTCCATGGGAGTCAGCATGTTCCTGCTGTCTAGCGGCCCTGAGCCCCGCAGCTCCCCAGCCACCACGCTCTCGGGCCTCCTCTTACTGACAGGCTATATCGCCTTTGACAGCTTCACTTCCAACTGGCAGGACGCTTTGTTTGCTCACAAGATGTCATCTGTGCAGATGATGTTTGGGGTCAACTTCTTCTCCTGCGTCTTCACAGTGGTTTCACTCCTAGAGCAAGGGGCTCTCCTGGAGGGGACCCGCTTCATGGGGCGGCACAGTGAGTTCGCAGCCCATGCCCTCTTGCTCTCCATCTGCTCTGCCTTTGGCCAGCTCTTCATCTTCTACACCATTGGCCAGTTTGGGGCTGCTATCTTCACCATCATCATGACCCTCCGCCAGGCCATTGCCATCCTCCTCTCCTGCCTGCTCTATGGCCACACTGTCACTGTGGTGGGTGGGCTGGGGGTGGCCGTGGTGTTTGCTGCCCTCCTACTCAGAGTCTATGCCCGGGGGCGGCTAAAGCAGCGGGGAAAGAAGGCTGTGCCTGTTGAGTCCCCTGTGCAGAAGGTCTGAGGGCCCAAGGGTAAAGTGGCAGGATTTTCATGTGCCCATTTCTCTGGCCTCTCCCACTCTAGCTTCTGAGGCCCTGGCTCCAGGGTAGATGTGGTTTTTAGTATCAGGCTGGCTCTACAGGTGGGGTGGGAGCCAGGAGGCAGCCTCCCTTGCCTTAAGCCACCTGTGCCCCAAGTAGGAGTCCTGTGGCAGTCATTTTCCAGGTCAAATCTGGACCAGCGGTGGGCTCTGCCACCAGCCCTCACCTGTGCTGGCTGTTTCCTTCAGACCCCACCTGACCTGCATTTCTTACTCTTGTGAGAAAAGCACAACTCTAAATGCTGCTTCCCAGGGGTAGGACTCTTGAGGATGGTGCTGTGCTGGGGAGGGGTGGAGCCCTGCCCAGTGCTTGCTGCTGTGCCTCTGGGCTGAGGCAGGTGCAGGTTTTGGTACTTTGGAAATGTCACTTTTTGCTCTTATTTTATTAAACTGCTGCAACAGACTTGGCCCCATGTTTTGGTTGCCTGGAGGGGTATGTGTTGGCTTGCCCAGAAAGAATCCACCTTACCTTGCTGCGCTCAGAAAAGGGAGGTATACTCATACTCAGAAGCAAGCAGTGAAAGGAGAGCAGAACTGTATAAAACAGCATCTTCTTTATTTCGCATACTTTAATTTCAGAACAAAATAAACAAAAAAATAAGATCACAATACATAACATCCAACCCTGCTGTCAAATTATGGAGGGGATGGGGCTCAAGGCCCTTGCTTCCTGCTTTCAACACAGGGCAGGAGAAATCACTAGACTCAGCAGAGGGAGCAAGGTGGGACAGGACCACTCAGGCTGCTGGGGGAGCCCTGGGGACACTATACAGAGGGCACAAGTTTCCTACAGTGGGAGCGCCTAATCAACTTCTTCCATCCGGGATGCATCCTCGTCCCCTTCAAGGGGAGGGATCTCATCAGGAACAGCAGCACTGGGCTCCTCCGCAGTCACCTCATCTTCATCGATGCCTGCATAAGAGAAAGGAAGGACTCAGAATGACGGCAAGAGATCTACTCTGCATGGGGACAGCCTCATGGCTCCCACTTACCCAGGCCCAGCTTGATCATGCGGTAGATACGGTTAGAGTGGGTCTGGGGGTCCTCCAAGGAGAAGCCAGAAGACAGCAGTGCAGTCTCAAACAGCAGCACCACCAGGTCCTTGACAGCCTTGTCATTCTTGTCAGCTTCAGCCTTCTGCCGCAGCGTCTCCACAATGGGGTGATCAGGGTTGATCTCCAGGTGCTTCTTGGCCATCATGTAACCCATGGTAGAGTTGTCGCGGAGGGCCTGGGCCTTCATGATCCGCTCCATGTTGGCTGTCCAGCCATAGGTGCTAGTCACGATGCAGCAGGGTGAAGACACAAGCCTATTGGAGATTGTCACCTGTGGACAGGCATGGAAACCTTATTTTTAGCAGGACAGCACACACCTAATCCCAGCTAATAAAGGAGGTTGAGGAGCCCAGGAGTCTGAGGCCAACCTGGGCAGGCCTGTAACATCTCAATCCAGAAACAGCCACTTTATGTTAGGGCTAGATCAGACAGGAGTGGTGAGAACAAAAGGATTTAAATTGCTACCCTTGCAAGGAGCTGAAATAATGCCCCAGGGAAGCTGACTACTTGGGGAGTCTGATGAAGGAAGCCAGCCTACAGGCAGAAATCCCAGAACAGCTCACCTTCTCAACCTTCTTATCTAAGATTTCCTTCATGAGTTTGCACAGGTTCTCAAACTTGGCCTTGCTCTCCTCCATCTTTTTCTTCTCCTCCTCATCCTCAGGCAGCTCCAGGCCTTCCTTGGTCACAGACACCAGGCTCTTCCCGTCAAACTCCTTGAGCTGCTGCACACAGTACTCATCGATGGGCTCAGTCATGTATACCACCTCAAAGCCGCGTTTCCGCACACGCTCCACAAAGGCAGAGTTGGCCACTTGTTCCTTGCTCTCACCTGAGGGGTTAGCAAATGGGACTTAGACACTGAAAGGCCTCACCCTGCCAACCTCAGGTGGTCCAGATCGACCTGCCCCACCCCACTCGCCAAGGCAGCTTTGCTCAGACCCAGTGGGACATACCAGTGATGTAGTAGATGGACTTCTGTGTCTCCTTCATGCGGGACACATACTCAGAGAGGGATGTCATCTCATCTCCAGACTGAGAAGTATGATAGCGCAGCAGTTCAGAGAGGCGTCGCCTATTAGTGGAGTCCTCATGGATTCCAAGCTTTAAGGATAAAAAGGTTAGAAAAAAAAAATACATGAAAAATACATCTACTAAGCTAGCAATCAAAAGGACTATTAAGTATTTGCCTCCCTACCTTCAGATTTTTTGAGAATGCTTCATAGAACTTCTTGTAGTTCTCTTTGTCTTCTGCCAACTCAGAGAACAGCTCAAGGCATTTCTTCACAATGTTTTTGCGAATGACTTTCAAGATCTTGCTCTGTTGGAGCATTTCTCGGGAGATGTTCAGGGGCAGATCCTCTGAGTCGACCACACCACGGATAAAGTCTGAAAGCAACCAGGGCAGAAAGTTCAGTAAAAACAGCTGGGTCAGATATGGTGACCCAGGTCTAAACACAAGGCTTTTTGCTCGCCTATCTTCACTTGCTACGTTGATGAGAACCTTTAATTGTCTGAAGAATTTACTCCCAGAAGGCTCCAGAGCTCAAAGCCCACCCCAGTGCACCGGGCTCAGAAGATACTCACTTAGGTACTCGGGGATCAACTCATCACAACTGTCCATGATGAATACGCGACGGACATAGAGTTTGATGTTGTTCTTCTTCTTCTTGTTCTCAAATAGGTCAAAGGGAGCCCGCCGAGGAATGAATAGCAATGCCCTGAATTCCAGCTGACCTTCCACAGAGAAGTGCTGAAAGAAACCCAAGATGATAAAACATCCTTGTATTTCGGGGACAAAATTGTGGTGGAGGGGCCAGGGAAATAGTTCAGCAGCACAAGTGCCTGCCTGGCAAGTGCAAGGTCCTGAGTTCGATTTCCAGAACCAAAAAAAAAAAAAATAAAGTGGTGAGATGAAACAATGACCCTCCTTCTAGCACTAGGGTCAAACACCAGAGTAACTCTCGAAAGAAACTGCACTCGAATACCCCAAACCAACCTAGATTGGTCCAAAGCTGTATGTAATCCTTAGATAAATTTAACAGCAGGTTGGATCAGAGCCCTACATGTGTCAAGACTGCTACAGGTACCATACCACCCAGACTTCTACCAGGAGAAAGTCAAGTCACTGGGGAGAGGTCAGATGTCCTTCACTGTGGTAGGGACACAAACTCATGGGGGACCCCACATCTTCCAAAGCTCTCAGCCACCAAACAGCTAAGCAAGGTCCACATCCCATCTGACCTGACATCCAACACTTCTCACCTTGACTGCCAGGTGGTCTTCCCAGTCATTGGTGAGGCTCTTGTAGAACTCTCCATATTCCTCCTGAGTGATGTCATCAGGATTTCTGGTCCAAATGGGCTTGGTCTTGTTCAGTTCCTCATGATCAATGTATTTCTCCTTAATCTTCTTGGTTTTCTTTTTCTTATCCTTCCCAGTATCATCCTCCTCATCTGAGCCTACATCTTCGATCTTGGGCTTTTCCTCATCATCCTTATCTTCCTCTTCTTTCTCACCTTTCTCTTCTTCTGCCTCGTCATCACTGATTTCCTTCTCTCGTTCCTTCTCCAACTAAAGTACCAAATATAACAGTTAACTTTGGAGAACATGATACTAGGAAAGCAAGAATGGCAGGTGGCACATGCAGAAGAGCCATAGCACATACTCACATAAAGGGTGATGGGGTAGCCTATGAACTGTGAGTGCTTCTTTACCACCTCTTTGACCCGCCTCTCCTCCAAGTACTCAGTCTGGTCTTCTTTGAGGTGGAGGATCACCTTGGTGCCTCGGCCAATGGGCTCACCTGGAAACAGCCAAGCATGAATATGAGTACAGACACAATATGAAAAGCACAAGTGTAGTGAAAAGTGCTTTACAGGGGCTCGGGATTTAGCACAGCAGCACAGCGCCTGCCCGGCAAGCCCAGGGTCGTGAGTTCGGTTCCCGGTACCAGAAAAAAACGAACAAACAAAAAAGAAAAGTGCTTTACAAAGAGGATGCTCATAACCTCTCATACTTGTTACTCCAAAAGGACCCTGAGCCACCTACAAGGAGAAGCAGACTCACCATGGTCAGCACGGACAGTAAATGATCCCCCAGCAGAAGATTCCCAGGCATACTGCTCATCATCATTGTGCTTGGTGATCACAACAACTTTCTCTGCCACCAAATAGGCAGAATAAAATCCAACACCAAACTGCCCAATCATGGAGATGTCTGCACCAGCCTGCCAAAGAGTTTCAGAAAGTCAGACAGGTTTTATTTTTTTGCTAAGTCAGTTTTAATAAATAGCCAAGCCAGAAACCCTAGAGAACATTAATGCATGTGCACAGATGAAGCATCACAGACCTGAAGAGCTTCCATGAATGCTTTTGTGCCAGACTTGGCAATTGTTCCCAAGTTGTTTATGAGGTCAGCCTTCGTCATACCAATGCCAGTGTCCACCAAAGTCAGGGTACGCTCCTGAGGGTTGGGGATGATGTCAATCTTCAGCTCTTTGCCACTGTCCAACTTGGAAGGGTCTGTCAGGCTCTCATAACGGATCTTGTCCAAAGCCTGTTAATATAAACTACTGCTTACATCTACTTTTTAAATAGCCGTCTCTTCATCCAAAGAAAATCTGGTTTTCTGTTCCCAAATAGCCTCAACTCTCATTGTCCCATAAGATTTAAGACCCAGAGTCAATATCCCACTTATGCGTGACAGAGCACCTCCCCTTTTAGAGATGGCCGCCAGTTAAAGCCAATCTTTTTTAGAACTGTTTGTTTACCCCTTGCAACAAGAGCTCCAACAGATGTTACCCCTTTTCAATCTTCAGCAATATGAAGCAAAAAAGCAAATAACAAACCACAATACCCCAGGAGAAAAGACCAGAGCACTCACATCAGAAGCATTAGAGATCAACTCGCGAAGGAAAATTTCCTTGTTGGAGTAGAAGGTATTAATGATGAGAGACATGAGCTGGGCAATTTCTGCCTGAAAGGCAAAAGTCTCCACCTCCTCCTCCCCATGGTGCACTTCCTCAGGCATCTAAAAGACCAAGAAGTAGAAAGGAGTAAAAATGGTGAAGTTCACCTCGGTTTCAATTAAGACCTTAGACGCTGCATTAAAACCGCTTTGAGCTGAGTACTATCCTCTCCCAAGAGACCGAAAACATCTCTGGAGAAACCTTTAAGCTTCACACTAAGTGGGAAACCAGTTCACAAGTGAAGAAAAACCTAGTGTATCCTTCAAGGAAGCACAGGACCCAGGGATGAGTGACGAAGACCTCAGCATCGCCCAGCAAACCCGGGCCCCTAGATAAGGCAGCTCAGGTAAGGTAAAGCCTACGCTCGGCCCCAAACGCCACTCACTGTGCAGTTACGTGATTCAGGGCAACACCAACCTAACAAAAACAGCAGGTGTTTAACTGCGCACCCCCTTAAAAATCCAAGTCCATCGAGGATGCCGCTGCACCCAGCAGGGCCAGGTGAGCCCTGACAAGAACTGAGACCATCTAAAGGGCAATTAACCCCGGACAAAGGACTGGCGAATCAGAAGCTCCACTGCAACCCCCGCGTGCAAGGCAAACCCAGGGAAGATGGTGGCCGAGCCTCATCACCCCCACAGGCGCGCGAGAGGACAGCGAGGGGGCGCCGCGTGCACCATCCCATCGGCCCAGCATCCGGGCATTGGGGCGGGGCGCCAGGCTCCAGAAGCTTCCAGAACAATCTCAGCTGCCGAGGAGGGGGGAAGGGATCATGCATCGCTCGAGCCCGCCTCCCCCGCGCATCCTCACGCCCGGGGGCGCAGCAAAGGGTCCCAAGGGGTGCGGCGGCGTCGCTAGGGACCGCGCGGACACAACTCCCGGCAGAAGCACACGGCGCGAGGCCAGCTTGGCGGCCGCGCTGAGTCACCGCGCACCGCGGCCCCCGTAGCCGCGCCCGGAAGTGGAGGCCAACATGGCAGCGTCCGGGCGGCGCGGCCACCACGTGCGGTCGTCTCCTGTCCCGGCCTCGCGGCCAGCGCCGCCCCACACATGGGGCCCCGAGGACACGCTCGGGGCCCGCACCTGCCGTCCCACTCCAGCGCTGCCAGACCCAACTCGCGCAGGCCAACAGGGGGACGCTGCCCAGCTCCCCGAAGGGCAGTAGAAACGGCAGCCCCCAAGGGCCGCGAGGGAGATGCCTAGGAGGGCGAGGCCTTACCTTGACCGCAAAGGGCTGCAATACAAGAGAGCAAGTCGGCTCGGACCGTGTCCGACGCGCTCGCAGAAGACAAGCGGCGCAGTGGTGACTCAAGAGAGCTGCTCTGCGCCCTCGGCCGCCCTATATACGGCGGAGCACCGCCGGGAGCCGGGGCACGGATCCTTCCGCCTTAAAGTAGGCGCAAAAAGCCCGCACCTGCTCCGCCCGCCCACCTTGACGTCATGCTCTAGTCTGAGGGGGGAACCCGGAGCTCCCCGCTCCGCGCCAGCAGCAGGGTCGGCAGCGGGCAGAGCGCACAGTGGCTGTGGCTCACAGCCCCATCTGCGCACGCAGTACACGACCTCCTCGGATTAAGGAGCGGGAGGGATTGTGGGGTGTAAACAGGGTCTACAGTCGAGGACCCCTGGCTGCCCTCAAACTTTGGAGTGTCTGGGGACCCTAACAGAGACGGCCACCACTTCTACTGCCGCCCCCACGTCCACTCCTGGGTCCGCGCCGCGCCCCCCCACATCCAGACTGCCGACCCCGCCCCGGAGCCCGGAGGGCGGCGCGGGGCGGGCGACGCGGGTAGGGCTGGGGGATTCTTTGCCGAAGCGGCGGAAGGGGCGACTGTGCTGCGGCCTTCCAGCAGGTTCCAGGCGCCTCCGGGGCCCCGCCTCTCGCAGCCCCCGCCCCCGCTGGAGGCTCCGCCTCCATTGCGGCCAGAGCTGAGCTATGGGCGGCTGCCCCGGGTGGTCGGCTCTCTGGGTCCTGGTCCCCTCCCTGTGTGCCGTGCGCTCCGGGCCTCTCCACGCGCGGCCTAGGTCTCGGGGGCGGAGGGGGGCGGGGGCCCGGCTTCCTTGCGGGAGCTGGAAGAAGACCTCGGCGGAAGGGGCGCTGCGAGTCCATTCGTCTCCCGGTCCCCGCTTCTGAGTCTCATCCCACAGGCCCGCGACAGTCGTTTCCGAGAATGGCCTCTCCCTTCCCTGCGCAGGTGGGGTCCACCTGCCCCTTTCCCAGCCCGCAATAATGGGGAGACGTCGCCACGAGCCCGGGACCGGTTTTCTCTCCGATCCGCCTTGTTCGTGGCCGAATCCAGGGAACAAAGGCCTTCCTGCTTCAAGTCCTGTTCTCCGCGGCCTGGGAGAAGTCGTGGTGTGGAGAGGGTCCTGCGTGCTGATCCTGCCCCCATCCGGATCCGGGAGCAGCATCCTGGGCCGGAACTCTGCGCGCTCCGGGCGCAACACGTGCCAGGCCTGGGTTCCTGTCAGGGAGAGTGTGCGCCACTCGTCACCTGTGAGCTGGTGAAAGTGAGCCTGCGGGTTTAATAAACAGGAAAACCATGGCTTCAGTGTCTCCCTGGGCGCCCAGCCAGACCCCTGCCTGCTCCGGAAGTGGAGGGGAGCTCCCAGGACCCAGGTCTAAAGCACAAGAGGGATGGCTGGTGCTGCAGGGTCAGGACCAGAGAAGGCTCAGAGGCTTCCCGAGGACTTTCTAAATTGGGAAAATCCCAAATATTGCTGGAGTATGGAAATTGTTTTTTCTCATCCTAACACAATACGTGCCTGTAATTTCAGGCCATGGGAAGTTGAGGCAGGAAGATAGCTGCGAGTTTGAGGCCAGCCTGGGCTACATAGTGACTTAAAGGCAAACTTGAACTAAATGTAAATAGCAAGACCTTGTTAAAAAAAAAAAAAAAAAAGACCCAGAATATTAAAATAAGGGCTGGGGATATAGCTCAGGTAAGCCTGAGGTCATGAGTTCGATTCTCAGCACACAAAAAAAGAATAAAATAAAAGGCCAGGGTTATAGCTCGGTGATAGTATTATAGACAGCAAAGCTAGATAGAAATATAGGCAGTCAGACAGGGCTAGGCCCTTCTGTGTCCCCTCCTGTCAATATAGATGATGAAAACACTTTACAACTGTGGCCAGAGCTGCATCTGTTGGAGGCCAGGCCTCAAGACAAAGACAAAACAAAAACAAAACAAACACAAAAACAAAACAAAAACACACAAAAAACAGGCCTATATGCCTAAGAGATAAATTAACATCAGTCACCCCAAAGAGTGGCTGGCTGAAACCCTGATTGATCTCTTCCTAAAAGGCCCTGGTTCTCTCCAGGGACACTTGCTACATGACCTGCTTCCCTGCTGGATTAATATTACCTAGATGGCTAAACTTGTAATCTTATTGGTTGATCATAGTTTTGGCCTGTGTTGTATACTCTTTGTGATTTTACATTCGTCTTGTGATTTTGCTCTATGAAAACTTCCTTTGTAAAGGAGGCTTTTCAGCAACACATTTTCCATGTCCCCTCCTCTCTCAGGAGCTGTCTCTCTCAATAAAATTTTCCTACTCTTAACCTCCGTTGTTTCTTAGAATTTATTCTTTGATCTTGAGATGTGTCAGCACATCTGACATCTGGCAGGGAGTTACATTTATTTCCCCTATATCAGTAGGATGCTCTTGGGCACAATCCCCAGTAGGGGGAGGATGGTTCCATTCTCTTGGAGGAAGCCTTTCCCAAGACCTGGCCTGTGCCCAAAAGCTCCATCCTTCCTCTGCTCATAGAAACTAAGCTCCACTGTGAGCCTTACTGGAGGTCCATGCAGCAGGCCTAGTGTGAACCTGGGAGTCTGGAGAAGCATCCGGCCCCCACCTCAGCTGGGGAAAGGAGTAGGCTCAGGGCCGTGCCTGGAGTGGCACAGAGACTACAAGGGGACGATGGCTCAGGAACCTCAGAATCTTGTTCCCAGCCGCTGTACAACCATCACATTCCCAAGATATCCTTTCTGCCCAGTCACGCTTCTGAGACCCACTGTTGGAGCACTGCCCTCCACCGCCCCCATCAGGGATTAACAAATGGCCTGTCCCTGGTGGACCAAGTGCTTGCTTTTTTTTTTTTATGGCCTGTGGGTAGAGAATTTTTTAAAACATCTTTTGATGGTTAGAAATAATTCAAAAGAACTGTTTTGACAAGTGAAAATGACATATTTGAATTTTAGTATCCATAAAGTTTTACTGACTTTTTTTTTGTATTGGGAATCGAACTCAGGACCTTGCAGTTGCCAGATAGGCACTTGTGCCACTGAGCTATATCCCTGGCCCTCAGTTTTACTGACTTTTTTCTTCCTTTCCACCCACTGCATGGGGATTGAACCCAAGGCCTTCACAGTAAACTATATCATTAACTGTTTCTTAATTTTTACTTTAAGACAGTCTCAACTAAGTCACGAAGTTGCCCAGGCTGAGATTGAACTTGCACTCCTCCTGCCTCAGCCTCCCAGAGTTCTGGGATTACAGGCAGGTACCACCATGCCTGGCTTTCTAATGTTTGTTTTTGGTCTTTTTGAGACAGGGTCTCACTATGCTTTGCTAATGTTTCTTGATAGAGATCATATAACTTGCAAACTAACATCTACTACTCTCTTCTCTTACTTTTTATGGAAAATATTTGTTGACCTCTGAGCTAGCTAAAGTTAAGTTTTATTTTGTGGGGGAGAGGAAGAGATTGAGACTGGGTCTTGCTCTGTGGTCTAGACTAGCCTTGAGCTCACCATGTAGCCCAGATTGGCCACAAACTCTAGATCTTTCTGCTTCAGTCTGCCGAGCGCTAGGCTGTTTACAAAGGCCCAGGAGCATCAGGATGTCTGGGGGTTGTATGACCAGGAGCGTAGGTGTGTTATTTATCTGTCAGTGTTGGGCTCAAACCCAGGATCTATGCATGGCAGGCAAGCACTGCACCACCGAGTAAAACCCAGCCTCTGCCCATCCCTGCATTCTGCAGGGAACACCCTGAGCCCAAGTCTCCCCCACTGATGACCCCATGCTCCGAGGACCAATGGACAGCTGGTAATACCCC